ATCCAAAATCACTCGGCGGAAAAACCGCCAAATGCAAGAGATAAAAAAACCGGCTTTTCTATAAGTCAGATAATTTTGAGACTTCACCTACAATAGAATACAATTCAACACAAACGCTCGAACCTAATGGTCTACGAATACCCAAGTATGCGATGAGCGCGCAAAATCCAGTCCAAAGCAATTATCTGCACTAGATTATGGGCAAAGTGTTCAATAGTGAATGACGGTAACGTCATAAAAGTGCACCGCTAGTAAAAGCTAGCATTCTAGGGGGCTGAGACTACGTAGATGTCTCATAGCATCTAACTTTTATGAGAACTCACTCTTTCCTCCAGATTTCGGCGGGCAAATTTCGACTCCATTTGCTTGTGACCATCCTACTGGCAGAACATATCGCGTGGTGTATGGCTCCTTGATGTCATACCCATTATTCCAGCCATCAAAGTGAATTTGTATTTGGGTCTGCAATTGCGAATTTGAAATAAAATTAGAATGAAATTAGAAGGCTAGACCCGCAGGATCTGAGCAAAAGAACCACAAAAATGAAATCATAATGCGTGAAAAAATTCAAAATTCTACAGAAGTCTTACACGAAGTTCCAACTGCAAACAAAAGTTTCAAAAAGAAACTGAATGGTAGATAGGTAATACAAGAACAAAAATTAATTAATGAAGCAAATCAATCACCTTTGTAGCATCCACAATGGTAGCAGGTGAAGTTTTACCATTAAAACTTCTTTGATCAATGGCCTCCACCTTCTGGCCTACTTTGAATAGATTTTTTGGCGGCCGGAGGTTTTCTGAGATCTAAAAAAACTTTAATGAAAGTCGTCGAAACGATTTCGAACTCAATTTGTAATATCTACTGCCGGAGAAACGCGTGGCCTATCTATGGGTAACTGAACCGCGTTAGCGCTCTCAGAAGACCGCCTTCGTTCTGCAGAAGACCTTACAGTCATCGCAAGAACTACATAACAACCAAAATCTCTGCCATTAAATCATGAACAGGTAAAAAATTGGCAGGTAAAAAATTTTTTGCAAAAAAAGTCAATACTTCCACATTTTTACTCACCGGTCGAAACCACTGCGGTGGGCAGAGCATCGATTCTCCCGTTTCTTCGTCTGGTTTTAAATGTTGCTCCAAAAATTTTGGGAATGTGCCATGGTGATGAATGAAACCAATTGGTGGATTCAATTTCATTTGATCCTCTGCGGTTTCGCTAAATTTGGCACGTACAAATGAAAAGTGCGAAGTGCATAGAATAGAAGC